TTATATATACCCACTTGTTACAAACAAAGGGCTTGTTTGGAGGTTTCTAAGAGTGACCGGTACCATTTTCCATTAATGCATCAAATTTGCGCCCAATAGTAGCATGCCACTCCGGTCTTGTTACTGCCTTTGTGTAACAAGTTGGCTCAGGTTCATGAGTAACACTATAAGGCTCGAAGAGTATGTTTAGTAGCATAGAAGGTCTTGAAGTCAAGGTACTATTTTAGGTTTGGAATTCCTGTTTTTGATCTGGTAATTATTTGGCTGGTTGTGGTTACAGGAGGATGATCTAAGGATGGTAAGGAATAGATNAACGTAGTCTAGATGATGTGCTCTTATTGCCTGCAATCGAATAAAGGCCATTCTCAACCAACCCTTGAAGCAGAAATCATCCGGTCTTATTCTCCTTTAGATGAAATCAACACCAGTAAGTACAAAATAGCAATCATTGTCAAGGCAAAAAAGGTTTATGGATAACAGGTTAGTAGATGCATTTAGACAATGAAGAACATTTGTAAGCTTATAAGAATTATTTGTTACATTTATAGAGGAAGAACCGGTGTGTTTAATCATTAAACCTAAGACATTGCCCACATGACGATGCCTTAACTTTCGTAGGGCTCCTAGTGTTCTAAATTAGCTGCATTGACCGTGATAAGGGCATTAGCCCCATTGTCAGCATACCAAACTTATACATCGATCAAGTTTATATAAACATTTACAAAAGCTGGATTGATTAACATTAGGAGACTAACTAGCACATATAGTTACAACATTCTACTCTAATTCAAAAAAAAGGTTGAGATAATTCTATAAGGATTTTTAATCATAGATGGGCTTGTATGTGTGAATAATTGTGTGTTAAATTATAGGATATCGAATTCGGTTGAGCCCAATTAAAGTGATCTAATAAGGCTTCAGTTTTGGGCTTTAATATATTCAATTAAAGTATGAGTTTATATATTTGTAGAGACCGGACCCAAGTCCTAATTCTATGATGGGCCGAATTAGGTCAAAGGGTGTCCCTATATAAATAGGTTATGGTCCCCAAATCACACGCACATATTATTCATTCTCTTCTGCATTCCATCACAGAGGGGAAAATGAGACTGCGTGTAGATTTGGAAGGCTATATCGCGAAATTCATATTGCATTAACCATGTCTGATTCAAGTACGCTTCCGCTTTAATTCTTGTATTTTTTGATGATTTAACATGAAAGATCCGGTAATTTAAAGCATTAAATTATCCAACAAGTGATATCAGAGTCTCTTCATGTTGAATCATTGAGAATCGAATAATTTAATTTGGTTCTTGCAATATTTATAAAGTTTTCAGATTTGATGGTCTAGAATTTATATTTTGTTGAATTTGAAAACTTTTGCGGTATAATTTTTGTTATTTTTGTAATTCGGATTAATGGTTGAGAAAATTCAGATTTGGAATTTTATGAATTTTGAAATCAGATTCAAATTCAGATTTCGATACTGTTTAAAAAAAATTAAAATTCTGCCTGGAAGCAGTGGCCGGCGGTGGCTGCCACATCGCAGCAGTAGCGCGAGCTGCTGCACAACACAGCAATGTCAGGGCTACTGTGTGGTGGGCAGCGCACGCCGGCGCTGCCCTATGAAGAAGGAAGAGAAGAATTTTTTTTTTTTTTTGGAGTTTTTTCAGTTTTCGGATGTTTTGGAGGCGGGGGCTTCCTCTGTAAATCAAATTATTTGAGGTCCTTAGTTGCAATTAGGGTTAGGGTTATAAAATTAGGGTTTCAGTCCCTAACCTTTAAGTTATATTAAGTTTTGGGCTTTTAAGTTTTTGGATTTAATAATTCAGTCCCTAAGATTTTAAAATTAATTAATTCGGGCCATTAAAGTTCTGAATTTATAATTAAAGCTCTCAAATTTTAATTAATTAATTCAAATTGACCCCTAAAGTTTCAAATTTTCAAAATTTGATCCCTTAAAGTTTTGAATTATTAATCCTAAGACCCCTAAAGCTTAAGACTAATCAAATTATTTAAAACTGATGATTCTCTTTCTCAAATTTTGGTACTAAAAGACTCTTTTAAGAGAAATAATATTCGAAAGTTGGTTAATTGAAGCAACATGTTGCCAAAGCAACCTCTCTTATGAAAATTGACTAACTTAGAATGTTAAAAAAGTGTTTGTGCACGTGTTATTCATGGGAATATTGGTCGGCCCAAAGGAAGGTCAATATTTAGCCGAATACACGTGCACCTGTGGTGATAAACGTGTGACGATTATTTGGTTTAATGTGTGATCAATAAATCGGTCCAAAGAAAGGTTTATTGATCGACATGTTATTTTATCGCCAATGTTTGATCACTACGCCAAGAGTACCACTTATAAGTCAATATCTCTGTCCAAAGACTAGATATTGATGTTGTGCTTGGTATCTTGTGATGGGCCCTACCACTACTTGAGAATATTATTATTTCCATATTAAAGATATTCATGTGAGCTATTCATAATAAACGTTCTCTAATTCAGTTTCAGGTTCTACTGCTAATATCTCTGCTAGCATCAATTCAATTTCAATGTTAAATGGCATAAACTTTAGGGCATGACAAGAGAACGTTATGATTGTTCTCGGAGTCATGGACCTGGACCTTGCTTTACAGGTCGATCAACCTGCTGCACTTACTGATAAGAGTATCTCTGATGATAAGAGGGAGATGAAAAAGTGGGAACGATCGAACCGCATAAACTTAATGGTCATGAAGCGTGCTATTCCAGAAGCATTTCGGGGCACTATGTCTGATAAGGTGACTATGGCTAAGAGTTTTCTTGAGGACCTTGAGAAGAGGTTTGCCAAGAATGAAAAGGCTGAAACAAGTACACTTTTGAAAAATCTTATCTCAATGAGATATAAAGGAAAAGGAAACATTCGGGAGTACATTATGGAAATGTCTCACATTGCTTCAAAACTAAAGGTACTCAAGTTGGATTTATCTGAAAACTTGTTAGTGCACTTGGTTTTGATATCCCCTCCGGCACATTTCAGTCAATTCAAGGTAAGCTACAACTGTCAAAAGGACTCATGGTCCCTTAATGAGCTCATCTCACACTGTGTCCAGGAAGAAGAAAGGCTGAAGCATGAGAAGATAAAAAGTGCTCATTTGGCCACCACATCTAAGGACAAAAGGAACAAGAAAAAGGAAAATTAATAAGGAAGTTGTGGGTACGGCACCGCAAAAGAAACAACATAAGGAACCAACTGAATGTGGTTGTTTCTTCTGTGGAGTTGCAGGTCATAAGAAGAAGAATTGCACCAATTACCACGCATGACGTGTAAAGAAAGGCATTCTTCTTCATTTGGTTTGTTCTGAGGTTAATTTAACTTTGGTACCTAGACATACATGGTGGATAGATTCTGGTGCAACAACTCACATTAGTATGTCTATGCAGGGTTGCCTGAGTTGCCAAAAATCAAGTGATGGTGAAAGATACATCTATGCTGGCGACGGTAAAAGAATGGAAGTAGAGGCAATAGGAAAATTTTAGATTATTGTTAAAGACTGGATTTTATTTGGATCTTGTTGAGACATTTATTGTACCATCTTTTAGACGGAATTTGATTTCTATTTCTGTTTTGGACAAATTTGGTTATACTTGTTCATTTGGAAATGGAAAATTTAGTTTGTTTCATGATTCAAAATTGGTTGGTTTTAGTTTTTTATCAGGTTACGATAATCTTTATTCAATTGATACAATTGCTTCTTATAATGAAACCTTCCATGTAAGTACTCGAGGTGTAAAGCGAAAATTAAACGGCGAGAATTCTGCCTCGTTGTGGCACAAGAGATTAGGCCACATCTCCAAAAGGAGAATTGAGAGACTTGTGTCTAACGGGATTCTCGACCCTCTTGACTTCACAGATTATGATTTGTGTGTCAACTGTATAAAGGGAAAACAAACCAATAAAAGGGGATTTCAAGCCAATAGGACTTTGGACGTCTTAGAACTTATATATAAGGATATTTGTGGACCATTCTCTATGGGTTCTTGGAATGGTCAACAATATTTTAACATTCATAGACGATTTTTCAAGATATGACTACGTATATCTCATTCATGAAAAATCACAGTCACTAGATGTGTTCAAAAAACTATAAAGCTGAAGTTGAGAACCAACTTGACAAAAGGATTAAAAGCGTCAGATCTAACCGTAGGGGTGGATACTATGGAAGATATGACGGTTCAGGTGAATAGCGTCCAGGAACGTTTGCTAAATTCCTAGAGGAATGCGGTATCGTCCCACAGTACCTATGCCGGGTTTGCCCACTATGAATGGTGTTGCTAAGAGACGAAACAGAACGCTTAAGGAGGTGAGGAGTATGATTAGTCATTCTACTTTACCAGAATCTCTCTGGGGTGAAGCATTAAAGACTGCAGCTTATATACTCAACATAGTTCCAACTAAGGCCACTGATAAAACCCCATATGAATTTTTGGACGGGTAAGAAGCCTAGTTTGAAGTATATACATATTTGGGGATGTCCAGCTGAGACAAGGCCCTATAAGCCAAATGAAAAGAAACTGGACGCAAGGACCATCAGTTGCTATTTCATTAGATATTCTAAAAGGTCCTAGG